CACACCCCTTCCCTCCCCCAACCACGCCCTAGCATGTCCCCCAACCCTCAAGTACCTGAGAATGACCGGACCTATAACCTCCTTTTCCTCTGCTACACCCAATTCAATGCTCAATTCTGTGAGCCTCTAAGTTTTTAATCAGTCTTTTATGTGGCACTGTATCAAAAGCTTTGCTAAAGTCAAGGTACACAACATCACAACCTTTGCCACTATCAACTACATCAACTATGCTGGAATAAAATGATAGCAAGTTTGTTAAACATGTACGACCATTTGTAAATCCATGTTGTGAATCATTTATAAATTTATATATTTCAAGATGATGTCGAATGGTATTTTCAATTATCGATTCAAGTAATTTTCCCACAATAGACGTTAGGCTAATTGGCCGATAGTTTGACGCAAGTGATCTATCTCCTTTCTTGAAAATTGGTACCACATTAGCAACCTTCCACGACTCTGGCACTCTGTCTGACTCTTATTAAATATGGTAGACAATGGATTGCAAAGTTTCGCTTTGCATTCTTTAAGCACCCTGGCAAACACTTCGTCCGGCCCTCGGGATTTGTTTGACTTGAGTTTCACTATTTGTTCAATAACATCCTCCCTGGTAACTGTAAAATTAGTCAACCTGTCCTCGTCCCCACCCACATAGACTTGTTCAGCTGAAGGTATAGAGTTACGTTTCTCTTTAGTAAATACAGAGATTAAATATTTATTAAAAATACTACTCATCTCTTCGTCATTATCAGTTATCTGGCCTCTCTCAGTTTTTAATGGAACTATCCTTTCCCTAATCTTTGTTCGATATAACTGAAAAAACCTTTGGGATTTATCTTTGATTGACCTGCTGTGCGAACTTCATAGTTTCTTTCTGCCCTCCTTATCTCCTTTTAAGCATTTCTAACCAGTTGTGCGAATTCTTGTTCTAAACTGACTTCCCCTATTCTTAATCCTTTTGTACCAAGCTCTCTTTCTACCTATAAGATTCTTCAGATCCTTTGTTATCTATTTTGGGTCATTTTATTAGATCTATTCAATTTGTAAGGTATACTACTTTCCTGTGCTTTGCTTAGAATATTTTTAAATAAGTTATATTTTGAATCCACATCGAAATCCCCTTTTACGTCACCCATCGCTGAGTTCACGTCCTGCTCCAAGACCGGCCCACCCCCAATGCCCAAGACTTTCCAATCTATTTCACCCCAAAAAATTCTTAAGCCATAAAAATCAGCTTTTCGAAGAACTGGCACATTAAAAAAAAAATTCTCCTACAAATCTATTCTATTCTATGCTAAATCTTCTGAACCAGCCGATACATAAACCTCATCTTGCAGTTTTCACGTCTCAATATATTAATCAGAACACGAGAATGAGAGGAGGGAATGCTCCACCATTGCGACCATGTCTTTTGGGAAATCAAATGTCAATGCATTATAATCTAGAAGGGACTGGAGAAATGGATGGAAATTGTGGAAAACCTGGTGGCAAGAGAGGAGAATATGGGGTATTCGGAAAGTTCTTGAATGAGTTTAATTGGAAAGATTTATTGTTTGGTAAAGAAATCAATGAGATGTAAGCCACATTTTGTGAGATACATGATAGCCAGGTAGAAACACGGTTGGGCCAGATGAAGTTTCACCTTGGGTCCTGAGAGAATGTGCATCTGTGCTCAGCACTCAACTTCAATTATTTTTTTCCAGTCATTTATATGTACATGATTCTTGGCTGATATACAGAAAAAGGCAAACATAGTTCCAATCTACAAAAATTATAGCAGTAAAAACCCTCTTTATTATAGACCTGAATCATCAACAACCGAGGTTTCTAAAACACTGAAAAAATAACTAAAACTCATTAAGTAGAACGCCTGGAGATTAGTTGTTTAACATCAGACATTATGGTTGTCGATCAAGGAAATTCTGTGTAACAAATTTACTTAGTTTCGGTGACAGCCACAAAAATTAGAGTTGGTTGGGGTGACTATTTATCTGCACCTTAAAAAAAAGGCCTTTTGATAGCTTCACACAAGAGGTTGTTCAGGAAACTTGGAACATGCTAGAAGGGTGACAGGAAGACTTCTGACGTGGATGAATAATGCTCAAACCTCCAGGAAAATGTGGGTAGTAATCAGAGACAATGTATCTGACTGGAGGAGTGTTACAAGCGGAGTACCACAGGGTTCATTTCTTGCACTGGTAATTTTCATCGTCTATATAAACGATCTACCAGAAGGTATATACAATTATATGAACATGTTTGCTGATGATGCTAAGATAATAGGACACCTGCACCAAGGTAGTTTATTCTTAACTAATGATCAGGCAAGATTGAGATCAACACTGACTTCATTTTCGGGTTGCAGTGCTAACCATGCCACGCACATGTCTTTGTTTACAAACACGTCGTTTACAAACATGTCGTTTAGGTCCTGGTTCAACCTTGACGACGAGCGGACGTCTGGACACCACCTCTGCCTGGGAGCTGCCGGATCACGTTCTGTTTTCGCGTTTCGGCTTTGCTACTGCCGTCTGGCATCCCTATTCAACGGTCCGGTTGTACGACGCCTGGCGCACATATCGCCTTGGGTCACGGGATGGTTGATAGATTTTTTTTTTTTACGTTTTCTGGCTGGTTCTCCCGGCGGGGTGACGGTGTTCGGGGGCCGGCTTGGCCGAGAGGTTCCGGGGGTTGGTGGGTTTTGGTGGGCTCCTGGTGAGCCCTCAGTCGTGGTGGGCGGCCGGCTTCTGTTCTGCCGGGGGACACTGGATGACTTTAGCGTTTTAGTTGGGGGCCAAGTTTTTGGTTTTGCTTCCCAGTGTTCTCTGTGTGGGGCGGGGCCGGTGCTTGTCACCCCTGAGGGACTCTTGGGGACTCCCCAATCATCTCTCTATCTGTGTTTCTTTGCGGCGAGGCATATTAGTTTCTAGTGATTGGCGTCATTTGTTTTGCGATTTGGCTTGGCGTTTCTCCTTTCTGAGCTTCGCGAATTAACCCTCAACGGGTACGCCGGGCGCATCCGATTCTACGATCGTTGTCGTCCCTAAATCAACAAAAACAACATATTCGTTTACAAACACGTCTGTGGTTACAAATACAGGTGTTGACTGGCAGAAAAACTGTTGTCTCTCTCTCAGCCCTCCCTCCCCCCTCACTAACAGGTCTCCAGAAATGAATTAATTTACCGTTAATAAGCAGCATTTACTTAGCAATACTTAACACAGCAATAAATACTATACTAGTGTACAGTGTTTCCATTGGACAATTTCAGCAACGTGGAGAGGGGGGGGGGGATCCTGCTGCATGGGTAACAGCTTCTCCTCCATATCAACCTACCCTGGCTTTGCGCCCTGGAGAGGCCACTCCAGCCTCGACAACCCCAGCGCGACTCTATATTCTCCCAAGAGTACAGTATGCCTAGTACTAGTGTACAGTAATGGTAATCTGTACATTTGTCGGTACTTTGACGGAAACGAGACGAGTTAGTAGAAGGGAGCACCGCTGGAAACGTTAGTTACTGTGAATTGAATATCTTGCCTTAACAACATATATTCTGCCAAGTAAAGCTTTCACTGCTCAATTAATAACTACTACGTGAATATCTAACTTGGCATGACTTTCTAAATACTATTTTTTTTATTAATAGATCAAATTAAATTCTAATAATTACTTTTTTTTTGTAAAAGAAGGCAAGGTACAATTTTTTTCATCAGTTTTTAAAATTCTCTAATAAGGCAGGACACTGGGTCTCTGAATCCCATTGTTCCATGGAACCCAGGTTGGAAATGACCGGTCCAGAGGATTGAGCCGGTGCTAGATTTGTTAGGGGTTCAGTATATGAGGAAGCAAGTTTTAACTGTAACCAATGGAGCCAACCTCAACCCACACATGTTGGGTCCCTACCCCACAGCAATCACCGTGCAAATTTTTGTGATTGTAGCCTCAAACATCTGGCCTCCTACTTCAGACCGACAAAAAGACATTCTATTTAATAGTAAAAAATATTGTTGACAAGCCTGGTATTAAGGACCTTTCCTATGATAACACCAAAGTGCCTCAATCAGCATTCACCAGAGACACAGAACAAGGGGGTTTTGACTGAGGTTGTTAAGTAGGTTTGAGACACAAGCAAAGAGGATACACATACATGGTTCTTAATCTGTCCGATCAGGTCTAAACCCACAACAATGCATACAAGCTGTAGAAATTTTGCTTTAGGAGGAATACAGGTTTTGAATGACTGGAATGGGCTATCATTATTAAGACAACTTAACAGGTTGAATCAACAACTTAACAGGTTGAAACAGGTCAGGATCAGATCCCTGATCAGACACAGAGACAGAACGGTGAGACGACCCACTCTGGCTCGGTGATTAGTTGAATATTTCCTCCCTGTCCTCATCCGCCTCACAGGACTCTCTCGACGCCTCACCGAGCCACAGTGGGTCGTCTCTCCGTTCTGTCTCTGTATCTGATCAGGGCCTATCCAATTTATTCTCAAGAATAGATTGGATTCTATTCAGATTCCAATCTGAATAGATTCTATTCGTCCTCCTACCGCCTATCCAATCTATTCTCAAGAATAGATTGGATAGGCAGGCGGGTGTGGCTTTACACAGGATGGGTGAGCGGGTGTGGCTTTACACAGGATGGGTGAGCGGGTGTGGCTTTACACAGGACGGGTGAGCGGGTGTGGCTTTACACAGGATGGGTGAGCGGGTGTGGCTTTACACAGGACCCGAAGTGTATGGCCCATCTGTAGTGCTGTTGCTGTACAGTATAGTATAGTTACTCATTCTTATATTTTTTTTTCCAAGGTAATATGATCCTGTATTTTGTGTTTTTTTTTTAAATAAAATATTATTTTATTAACTCGATTACCATCTTTCAAGTGTTTGTTATTGTTGCAGAGGACCGGGTGCACGGAGTGTGAGGAGTGTTGCAAGGAGTATGACTCTGGCCACCGGCGCCCGCTGATGCTACCCAAGTGTGGACACACATTTTGCAAGTCGTGCCTGAGTAACTATCATCACTCTTGTATAATTCTTCTATTGGTTAAGACTAAATCAACACTCTTTGTTTACAGTTTACAAGCAGTGAAAGAAGACTTTTGTTACGGGATTAAGTATGGCATTGCAGTTAACTGCTTCATCCAAACCTTTGGTCATTTCATATGGCTATCCAGACTGTCTTGAAACGAGCGTATGTTCACTGCTGATCTTAGGTCCTGGGACATCCTTGTATCGTCTGCAAAGTTGCAAATGTTGCTGCTCAATCTCTAATCCAAATGGTTCATATACAGGTCAAATAACAGAAGACCCCAGGATGGAGCCCTGAGGTCCTTCAAACAATGTTCTTCTCCTCAAACTCAACTGCATTTATGCAGTTGAAAATTATGCAGATAAATTTTCATTTATCTCCCTGAAATAACTAAGTCAAATAGGCTTGGTAAATTTATTATCTGAAGCTCTCGCTGTCAACATTCCTTTGTTGTTGTAGCTGACTCTCGCAGTGCATTCATGGATTTAACCCAGTCCATCTGGTGGTAGTTGAAATTCAACATTGATTGTTTCGTATCTCCCGTAGATTTAAGACTGTGGAGTTTTGTTGGGTTCCCAGCCACATTGGTGTGTCCTTATATGAGCGTGCGGACGCTGCCGCTAAGGCGGCTATCCGGACTTGTTCCATCTCCTGCAAAGGTGTTCCTTATTCCGACTTCTACCATGTTATTCATTCCTCCTTTCTTGCCTGTTGGCAGGGTCGTTGGTCTTCTGTTACTGGTAACAAACTGCGTGTTCTTAAGAGTAATGTGTCCCAGTAGCCGTCCTCCTACCACCGTAACCGGCGGTGGGAAACGGCTCTGGCAATGTTATGTATTGGCCATACACACTTTGCGCATGGGCACTTAATTGAGTGCCTCCCTGCTGCTTATTATCCTAACAGCATTGTCCCTCTTGCAGTCGTGCATATCCTTGTTGAATGTCTTGACTTCCAGGATGTGCGAGTGTCTTGCTTCCCGACCGTCCCCCGCGGTCACTTGTCCCTTGATAAAATCCTTAGTGAATCAGATGCGTTTCATATTGCTCGCCTTATGCACAGTTGTTCGCGTATTGGCACCCTTAGTGATATTTAGTGCCTTGTGAATATCCCGCACCTTTGATGGTGCTACATAGTCTCCCTGACTTGATGCCTTCTTTTGATAATTACGCCCTATAACATATGCTAATAATAATACACTCTTCTCTCCCCCATTTATCTCATAGGTACAACTTGGTGGACTATTGAGAACTGAGGTACTTCACATACACATCGGGAAATTGAAGACGGTAGCGCGACCTACACATAGGCCCTCTGCAGACCTAACCTTGAGAACCTAGGCTAAGCCTTCTGCTACTTATTTCAGACATGCCAGCTTTTACCCCTATTGGACACCAGAGGAGGGTAGAACACTCACCCGACGAACAACCCTATAACCTGCAAGGACCGGCAAAAACACCCAAGACCCTGGCATCCGCCAGTAACCTAGAATTGTACTTGTTTTTTCCCTACAGGTAGTTGAGACGGGGTTTACTCGTTTTGCTGTGTAAAACCTAGGGACACAAAACCCTAAATGTGTACCTCACCTACTGACTAAATAAAAAGGCAAAGTGGATCTAGGCAAAATCACAACCATCAGCGGAGTCTCCTTCGGACTGATGAGTGTGGCTCCCACGGGCCACATGAGACAGCTGTATCCGAGTTTATAGAGCCCGTTGAAATATACGGTAATTTATAAAGTGAAAAACAGCGGGAAACAAGTTTCAGTTTAGTGATAAAAGGAACCTTACTCTGTGTGGTGGACTAGACTAAAATACTTAGTCAAAACGACAGGAGAAACAATCTATACGCAGTTGTGATTAAGTCTAGATTAACACCGCCGTCCCGCTTTCAACGGATTTCTTAGTTAAAATAGACGAAGTGAATAAGAAATGGGGCCCTGTCCCAGATGGTGCAACTCTTTTCTCCCTAGATATAGTATCCCTGTATCCAAGTATTCCCCAGCGAGAAGCAGCAACGGTGGTTGCAGACTACTTCGAAAGGAACGTACACCGGATCCGCAGGGACCTGAAGGAAGCAGGAATCTACACCCCTCCATCGAAGAACCTCCTCATAGAAGCCATTCTACATGTGATGCGGGATACGATCCTGACCTTTGAAGGTAAGACCTACAGACAAATCAAAGGAACAGCGATAGGAGCCTCGAGTAGCGTAGCCATCGCGGAGATTTTTGTTCACGAGGTTTTCGAATCTAGGAGAGAAGACTTACAAACGGGACCAAGGATATATTACAGATATATCGACGACATAATCGGTATGTCCACCGGGGAACCACCGGGGAACCTGCACGTGTTCTATTCATGGGCAAATTCAGTACACCAGAACCTGAGTTTTACGATAGACAGGAGTGAAACGGAATTAAACTTTCTGGACACGACCGTCTACATAAACCCAGCAACACGACAATTGGAGACGAAGGCTTTCTACAAGCCGACAAACCTCCATACATACTTGCAGTACCACTCCAGCCATCCACAACCACTTAAGAATTCGCTCCCCTACTCCTTGGGCCTGAGACTGTTGAGAATCAACACATGCCCCGACTCCCTGGGAGAACAACTTTAGGACCTGTGGACCTTTTTCCGGAACAGGGATTATCCTGAGAAAGTGCTCGACAAAGCAGCGAGGAAGCTGGAACAGAAGATACGGGAGGAACTACTCCACCACACCGGAAAGAGACACCAAGACAGGGACATCTTGGTGACAACCTACTTTGATGGCTTCAAGAAACCCATGAAGCAGGCGATGAAAAGACTCTGGACCTGGCTGGAACAGAAGTTTGGAGACCATCCTTCATGGAAGAAGTTTCCCAAGAGCCCACCCATGCTAGCCTGGAAGCGAAATAAGTCCCTGAAGGATAAATTGGTCTCGGCGGAATTAAAAAATACAAGGGAGATCCAAGACACGAGACAGGGCAGCACGCATTAGAAATACATTAAAAATCAATTAAGGATGTGTGACAGTATCCATGGCAATTAAAAACACATTAAAAAAACTGCTCTTGGGGATAAGGTGAACTAGGGGGAACAAATTGGCCACATGATACAAGGTGGAGTTGAGGCCCATCAATTAAGATCCAAGACACGAGACAGAGCAGCACGCATTAGAAATACATTAAAAATCAAATAAGGATGCGTGACAGTATCCATGGCAATTAAAAACACATTAAAAAAACTGCTCTTGGGGATAAGGTGAACTAGGGGGAACAAATTGGCCACATGATACAAGGTGGAGTTGAGGCCCATCAATTAAGATCCAAGACACGAGACGGAGCAGCGCGCATTGGAAACCCATTAAAACATCAAGTAGGGATGCGTGACAGTATCCATGGCAATCAAAAACACATTACAAAAACTGCTCTTGGGGATAAGGTGCACTAGGGGGAACAAAATGGCCACATGACACAAGGTTGAGTCGAGGCCCATCAATTAAAAATCCTATGCATATGCCAGCCTCCTCAGTAATGAAGTTGTTCCCTGTTTAGGGACTCCGCCCCTGTAGTGGACATGGTTCCATGGTAAGCCCCCTGAGTCGCCCTATAACATATGCTAATAATAATACACTCTTCTCTCCCCCATTTATCTCATAGGTACAACTTGGTGGACTATTGAGAACTGAGGTACTACACATACACATCGGGAAATTGAGGACGGTAGCATGACCTACACATAGGCCCTTCACATAGGTTAGGCAGACCTAACCTTGAGAACCTAGGCTAAGCCTTCTGCTACTTATTTCAGACATGCCAGCTTTTACCCCTGTTGGACACCAGAGGAGGGTAGAACACTCACCCGACGAACAACCCTACTAACCTGTAAGGACCGGCAACAACACCCAAGACCCTGGCATCCGCCAGTAACCTAGAATTGTACTTGTTTTTTCCTTACAGGTAGTTGAGACGGGGTTTACTCGTTTTGCTGTGTAAAACCTAGGGACACAAAACCCTAAATGTGTACCTCACCTACTGACTAAAAAAAAAAAGGCAAAGTGGATCTAGGCAAAATCCATTTGGTCCGGGAGACATCTCCCATCACGCAGGGTGCAGTCGCACCTCCACAGATCTCCAGTATCATCTATTGATACTGGTGATGGCTCAAAAGGGCCACCACTTACGAGCTATTCATGCCTGTGCCACCTTTTGGGTGGCTTCATCTTCATCTTAACACATTCACAAGGGAGACATCTCCCGTCATGCAGGGTGCATTCGCACCTCCACAGATCTCCAGTATCAGCTCTTGATACTGGTAATGGCTTAAAATGGCCACCACTTACGGGCTATTTATGCCCGTGCCACCTTTTGGGTGGCTTCATCTTCATCTTAACACATTCATAAGGGAGACATCTCCCGTCATGCAGGGTGCATTCGCACCTCCACAGATCTCCAGTATCAGCTCTTGATACTGGTAATGGCTTAAAATGGCCACCACTTACGAGCTAGTCACGCAGGGCGCAGTCGCACCTCCACAGATCTCCAGTATCATCTATTGATACTGGTGATGGCTCAAAAGGGCCACCACTTACGAGCTATTCATGCCTGTGCCACCTTTTGGGTTGCTTCATCTTTATCTTAACACATTCACAAGGGAGACATCTCCCGTCATGCAGGGTGCATTCGCACCTCCACAGATCTTCAGTATCAGCTCTTGATACTGGTAATGGCTTAAAATGGCCACCACTTACGGGCTATTCATGCCCGTGCCACCTTTTGGGTGACTTAATCTTCATCAATCAATCAATCAATCATCTAGGCAAAATCACAACCATCAGCGGAGTCTCCTTCGGACTGATGAGTGTGGCTCCCACGGGCCACATGAAACAGCTGTATCCGAGTTTATAGAGCCCGTTGAAATATACGGTAATTTATAAAGTGAAAAACCGCGGGAAACAAGTTTCAGTTTAGTGATAAAAACAACCTTACTCTGTGTGGGGGACAAGACTAAAATACTTGGTCAGAACGACAGGAGAAACAATCTATACGCAGTTGTGATTAAGTCTAGATTAACACTGCCGTCCCGCTTTCAACGGATTTCTTAGTTAAAATAGACGAAGTGAATAAGAAATGGGACCCTGTCTCAGATGGTGCAACTCTTTTCTCCCTAGATATAGTATCCCTGTATCCAAGTATTCCCCAGCGAGCAGTAGCAACGGTGGTTGAGGACTACTTCAAAACGAACGAAGACCGGATCCGCAGGGACCTGAAGGAAATTAGCATACACCGGATCCGCAGGGACCTGAAGGAAGCAGGAATCTACACCCCTCTATCGAATAACCTCCTCATAGAAGCCATTCTACATGTGATGCGGGATACGATCCTGACCTTTGCAGGTAAGACCTACAGACAAATCAAAGGAACAGCGATAGGAGCCTCGAGTAGCGTAGCCATCGCGGAGATCTTTGTTCACGAGGTTTTCGAATCTAGGAGAGAAGACTTACAAACGGGACCAAGGATATATTACAGATATATCGACGACATATTCGGTATAATGCTGGGACCACCAGGGAACCTGGACGTGTTCTATGCATGGGCAAATTCAGTACACCAGAACCTGAGTTTTACGATAGACAGGAGTGAAACGGAACTAAACTTTCTGGACACGACCGTCTACATAAACCCAGCAACACGACAATTGGAGACGAAGGCTTTCTTCAAGCCGACAAACCTCCATACATACTTGCAGTACCACTCCAGCCATCCACAACCACTTAAGAATTCGCTCCCCTACTCCTTGGGCCTGAGACTGTTGAGAATCAACACATGCCCCGACTCCCTGGGAGAACAACTTTAGGACCTGTGGACCTTTTTCAGGAACAGGGATTTTCCTGAGGAAGTGCTCGACAAAGCAGCGAGGAAGCTGGAACAGAAGATATGGGAGGAACTACTCCAACACACCGGAAAGAGACACCAAGACAGGGACATCTTGGTGACAACCTACTTTGATGGCTTCAAGAAACCCATGAAGCAGGCGATGAAAAGACTCTGGACCTGGCTGGAACAGAAGTTTGGAGACCACCCTTCATGGAAGAAGTTTCCCAAGAGCCCACCCATGCTAACCTGGAAGCGAAATAAGTCCCTGAAGGATAAATTGGTCTCGGCGGAATTAAAAAATACAAGGGAGTTCCAAGACACGAGACAGAGCAGCACGCATTAGAAATACATTAAAAATCAATTAAGGATGCGTGACAGTATCCATGGCAATTAAAAACACATTAAAAAAACTGCTCTTGGGGATAAGGTGAACTAGGGGGAACAAATTGGCCACATGATACAAGGTGGAGTTGAGGCCCATCAATTAAGATCCAAGACACGAGACGGAGCAGCGCGCATTGGAAATCCATTAAAACATCAAGTAGGGATGCGTGACAGTATCCATGGCAATCAAAAACACATTACGAAAACTGCTCTTGGGGATAAGGTGCACTAGGGGGAACAAAATGGCCACATGACACAAGGTTGAGTCGAGGCCCATCAATTAAAAAACCTGTCCTCGTCGAGGCCACAAGAGTGTTAGTGGCACTCAAGTAAATTCAGGAAAGTGCTTCCTCACACTATGAAATACAAACTTCATGACCAAAATATAAATAATCCAACCCTCACATATGAAATGAAAAGAAAGTCCCGACATTTCAATCCTTCCTTGACTATTTTAAGTTGTGATTTTCCCTTTATAGAACTAATGTTTATTTTCTCAACAGGGCAGATCAACAACAGAGGTCGTCTGCGATGTCCAAAGTGCGGCTCTGAACCTCAAGTGGAACTAAAGGACTTGCCAACAAACATGTCCATTCTGGATATGGTGATCTAGGTAAGGGAACTTAAGTATTCATAATCAGGTAAACAAGTGAGATTCACACATAGGCCTACATTTTTTTACAGGAGAGGAGAGGAAAATATTATTTCACGAAATTCTAGGAGGTTTAAGATAGGCTGACGAACACAAAGCCATAAAACGTGGCGGATAAGTAGAATATTGCGACAGTAAGTCATAACAACGGGGGTTGAAAATATAACATCCAAGCTGCAGATCTTAAAATAAAGTAAATAACAACGTTTCGGTCCACCTTGGATACGACAGTGGTCAAGGATGGACAGAAACGTTGGCACTTTATTTTCAAATGTGCGTCGGATGGGAGTTAAACTTAATATCCTTCGATACTTAGCAACTCACCGACTGGAAAGCAAGCTGGGATGTCTCTGTGGTCCCATTGATGGTGGCAAGATGATATTATTAATTATAATAATAATTGATTACGTTTATTACAGGTCTTGAATGCAAAATTACATGTTTTATTAGCGTCATCGGGTAGCTTTCCCTCTTATCCTCTCCCCCCTTGATTCCCTCTCTCCCTCCTCTTTTCCCTCTCTCCCTCCTCTTTCCCCTTTCATCCATTACCTCTCACTCATCACAACATGCCATTTTAGGAACTTTTTTTTTTATTATTAACATATTAGGTACATCTGCATTAGTGCAGCTACCCTAGACTATATGAAGTGGAGTACAGTGTGTCAAAAAAGCTAACTAGGTGATGATAAAAAATCCCCATCACACAGGATGGTTAGTCATACAGAGGCATGTGATAAGCGGCAGACTCCGGATGCATTTTGAGGATATCAACAACACAATATTGAATAAGGTAGCAGTGGTAATACAAGTCCCCATCTCGCAGGATGGTTAGTCATACAGAGCCATGTGTTTAATAGCCTGCACTGGCAAATTTTGGGTATACTGTGAGGATATATTCAAGAATACGAGAGTGAATAAAGGAATTGCAAAGCTCCAGGTACCTCATGCCAACTGGTTTGAAAGGTCTAATAACTGGGCATTCAGTGATGTAGTGCGGGAGATCATGCCGTAGTTCCTGCTCACAGAGTTTGCAACTGGAGTGCTCAGGATTGGGAGACCCGTCACCTGCAGCCACCTGCCACAGATAACGGTAACCCAACCTGATCCTTGCAACCACTGTGTCGCACAGTCTAGTGGACGTTTTGTGCTGTCCATAGATGTAGGTTTCAGATCTGAACAAATCATAGCTTTTTATACTAGTACTTTCAGGTCGTTGGGCGTCAGTAAGTTCTTTCCTATCAGATCTGAATGTTTGGACCAATACAGTTTTGACAGCAGAGATGGGGATACCTAGATCTAATTCAACTTCAAACTTGTTACACGCTAATTTGGCTGCAATGTCTGTCTCATTATGATGGGTTATATTTATGTTTGAAGGTATCCATACAAAGGAGATTCGAGATCCTTTACTCTGTGCATCAATTAGGTCATTTATAACTGGGAGTATGAGGTTCTTGCTGCCGATCTTCCAAGATAAGTTTTCGATTGCTTGAAGAGCAGACTTTGAATCGCAGAATATTATTCCTCCTCCAATGTTTTTAATGTGCTGGTTGCTAAATGCAATGCTGCTAGTTCTGCTTGTGTGGAGGTCAGCCAGTTGTTTAACCTGACACTGACAGTCTTTGTGCAAATATTAATTCTATAAAACCTACATGCCGCTGCAGTCCGTCCAGTAGAAGACTGGACTGAGCCGTCGGTGTAGACACAGTGCTCGTGAGATCTTAGACTCTCGATGGGGGAGGCAATTGTTTCAAGAGTGACAGCTTTGAGTAGAGCAAGATTCTCATTGTCTTTCTTGGTGACAGGTGTGTATGATACTTGAATGGTGGGGTACAGATAAAGAGGAATATCAGAGACAGGTAGATTGCACTTAAAAGGAATGTTAAGTTTAATGAGATTGTAAGCATTGTTTTTCAGCCAATTAACATAAAAGGAGTGAGTTGGTATGTCGGCACCAGTCAAAAGGGTGTTAACAGCACTAAATAATTTGTCTCTGAGCAAAGCAGGAGATGTAGGGTCTCTCATGACTTTAAGGCAAAAGGTAGTGTTAACTTGCATTATTCTCTCTAGTATGGTTGGAAGCTTCAGTTCTTCCCTCATGTTGATGATTCTTGTGCATCTTGGGACACCAAGAATTATCCTCATGGCCTCATTCTGTACTACTTCAAGTTTGTCCAGCACAGAGGAGGGGAAATTAATTAAGTGCAGAGCATTATAATCAACGAGAGATCTAACAAACATCATATAGAATAGTCTAGCATATTTAATATTGATACCAATATTCTTACCAGTAAGTGTTCTCAATGGTTTTAGTCTTTCGGTTTACCTACGGTGTAGATCATTTACAATGTCACTGTTAATACCAACTCCAAGGTATTTGTGCTGCCCACACATTTCAATGTTCTGGTTGTTGACCTTGAAAGCTATAGGGACATGAGTTTTCTCTGCGGGATGGAGAACTCTGGATTTAGTTATAGAGATAACAAGACCACATTCAATGCTTTTAGCAGCGAATGAATCAAGTAGAGCTTGCAGTCTAGTTTGGGAATTTGCAACAATGCATATATCATCGGCATAACAAATGACGGCTTCGTCAGGTAGTGTGGGAATATCAATTGTTAATTTGTGCATCAGAACATTGAACAGTGTGGGACTTAGCACTCCACCCTGGGGTGTACCCAACTCAAAGGGTGCACAGAGTTTACTTTTGACCCCCTTGAAAAGGACTGAGGCGGTTCTGTTACTCAGGTACCCCCTGAGCCATGTCAACAGTCTTCCCTTAACTCCAAAAGAGGCTAGCTGTTCTAGGATTATTTCTTTGTTTGCTGTATCAAAAGCAGTTTGGAGATCAATAAATGCCGCCTGAGAGTTTGGTCCCCCCTCTGATAAAATACTCAGCAAAGCAAGTTTGTGTGCTTCTTCCAGGAAGGAAACCATACAGGTTAGGGGCAAGGTGGGGCTTGATTTGAAACATTAGTCTGTCGAGAATAATTCTCTCAAGAACTTTGCACATGCACGACGTCAGAGAAATGGGTCTAAATTTTTGTGAATTAGGCTTGAGTATGGGTATTATGAGTCCCTGTGTCCAGCGGTCAGGTAAAACACCCTGCCTTAGACTTTGATTAAACAATTCTAGCAAAGGGCTATTTGGCAGCTCAGCAAGTACTCTCATGGTGTTGTATGTGATGCCATCCTCTCCAGGAGAGGTAGCCTTACCTTTCTTGAGTGCATTTTTAATTTTAGGAACAGCTGGAAAACTGAAAAACTCTCTGGAAAATAAGACCACAATTTCAGACTTTATTGGCGTTTGTGAAAGTTGTAATAGGAGCCGATAATTCTTGAAGGCGGCATTGTCTGTCAATCCTAGGATAAAGGTCAGATAACTGGGAGATAGCCTTACCAAACGTTGCAGGGTGACTGGTGGTTGTTGGCGGTGGTCTCCCCGCCAAAGATACCTATTCCAACTCCGCTGAAAACCACACTCCGTCCTTATTATGATTCATGCAGGATATTCTTTTCCACTTTATAATTTAGTGTTTGGAGCCCCCAGAATCTATGTGCTGCCTAAATGGAGTATCTTATCTATCACAATCATAACACTATCATCACTGTACACTACCCGGTAGTGTTCAGGTAATGTAGATAGTGATGAGGATGAAGACTATGCAAGGAGGAGGACAATGTGTAGTGAAAATAGTTACCATGATGGAGTTTGTGTGTAGTGAAGGTGATTACAGGAGTTGAAGATAGTTTATAGGGGGTTACAGGATAATAGTCGTAGAGAGGTGTAGATAGTTACAATGCAGGAAGATTGGGTGTAGTAAAAATATTTGAAATGATGAAGACATAATGTAGTGTATGTGATTGTAGTGATAAAGATAGTGAGTGGTTAAGATGGTTAGAGTAAGGATGGCACTTGTGTAGTGTAGGTGTGGTTGCCATCACCTGAGCAAAGCCAGATATCAAAGATAGTACTTTATAAAGCACTGATCACAGAAGCACACTGTGACTCACGCTGAGATAAAATGGAATCTAATGTAGGGAGTGACCCCCGGTCAAAAGCAAAGTATATAAAGTTAGGGAATGGTGAAGTGAAAGTTTCTAACTAGTTGTTCAGTTATTGGACCAGACCACACACTAGAAGGTGAAGGGACGACGACGTTTCGAACCGTCCTGGATTCTCAAGTCGATTGTTCAGTTATTTCTTGACATATTTTGGGAACCAACACGATAACATAGTGTTTTAGACTTAGTGTTATCTAAAAAGTGACACAGTTGAGTAACTGCAAACTTGGGAGTGAGCTTAGCACAGTTAGAATTGGGAAATCATATTTAATGAATTGGGAAATCATATTTAACACAGTATGGAAAAGCTGTGAGAGAAATGACTTAAAATGCCAGATTTAGAAGAAGCTGATCTATTGGGCTTAGGATGCTACATGGGATGGATAGGTAACACTTGATAATGATGAAGGTAAGGTAATTATCAAAAGAAGGCACCAAACCCGGAAGGCTATGTAGCACCATTAAAGTGCGAAATAATCAGAGGGCGCTAAATATCACCAAGAATGCCAATACGAGAACAAAAACGCATAAGGCGAACGATATCAAAAGTATCCGATTCACCTAGAATTCTATCGAGGGACAAGTGACCGCGAGGGACGGTCGGAAAGCAAGACACACGCTCGTCCTGGAAGTCAGGACATTCAACAAGTATATGCACAACTGTAAGAGGGACAACGCAATTCGGACAATAAGGAGCAGGGCGGCGCTCCATTAAGTGACCGTGGGTTAAGCGGGTATGACCAACCCGCAGCCGTGCCAAAGCAGTTTCCCATCGCCGGTTACGGTTGTAGGAGGAAGACCACAGGGACACACTACGTTTGAGAGTACGCAGCTTGTTACCAACCACAGAGGACCAACAACCCTGCCAACGGGCAAGAATGGAAGAATGAATAACA